AGGGCCTGAACGGCCCTGTTATAGGCTGAAAACGAAATAGGGCCTGCAGGCCCTCGTTTTCAGTTTTCAGGCTGAAACGACATGGGGCCTGTAAGACCTTATTTCTAGGCTTTTAGGCTGAGAATGCGGAATGGGCCCTGCAGGCCCGTGTGGCTACACAGTATGCCACACTCCCCCCTCCTTGAAAGACCGAGCTTACCTGTGAGAGCGAAGCTGTCTGTCTGAGGGAGGGACCACAGTCCGGGTGGGAGGGGCAGGTCGTGAAGTTCCCTGAGCTAACCTTTGCTTCTCGTAATGAGCGTAGATCAGCGGTGTGGATGCTTTCAATTCTGCTCCTGAAATCCACCGAGTGTCGTCGCGATCGCATGATTTGAATGTAACCTTGTATTGTTGAGGCTTGCTGCCGTACTTGCAATCGATGATGACGCGGTCAACTTCCTGATGACCATCCATAGAAGGAGGGTCCTGCAATCGTCGGCCCGGGAAGTCATCGCTCTTAGCTGGTGTGTATGTCGCCAGCTTCAAGGCGTGAAAGATTGGATGGACCGACAGATACGGGGGGATGTTGATCACAAATGAAGGGTCATCGGGCTCATCTCTCATGGCCGATGTTACGGGCCATGGTCCAAACCACTTGGGAAGCAGTTTGCGTGAAACATCATGTTACAGTGCAAACTCTTTCGCGGAGACCCAAACCAGATCACCGGCGCGGATAGGACATGGCACGCGGCGCCTGTTGGCTTGCTGCTGCATGCGGACTTGAGCCTTTTGCCTGTTTGCGCGGGCATGAGCCAGCACTTCCCTGTACTTCCGGACAGAAGCGGGAGAGCAAGCGGCGTCGATGTCGGCTGGTCGTGAGAGGAGAAGGTCGGCGAAGATACGGCCTTTCCGTCCACCGTGGTGCAACTCGAATGGAGTCACGCCGATCGCCGGGTGCACCGAAGTGTTGTAGGCGAACTCAATGTTGGGGAGGCAGTCAACCCAATCTTTCTGGTCCGGACGGATGAGCGTACGAATCATCATTTGACCGGTTTGATGTGCCCACTCCGTTTGCCCGTTCGTCTGTGGATGCCGAGCCGAACTTGATTTCATCTTCGTGCCGGACTCCTGCATGAGAGCAGTCCAAAATGCCGACATGAAGCGAGTGTCGCGGTCGCTAACTATGTCTTCCGATACACCATGGCAGCAAATCCAGCCGGTGTGCAAGAGGCGTGCCAATTCGGGAGCCGTGGAGTAGTACTTGCAAGGGAGAAAACGCGCGTACTTACTCAAACAATCCACGACCGTAAGGATGTTGTCGTGCCCGAGGCGATCGCGGGGAAATGGTGACATCCATGGCAATGGAGAGGCCAGGTTTCTGTAGGATAGGCATCGGGTGCAACTCGCCGTAGGGGTTGCGATTGCGGGGCTTGCTTCGTCGACAAACTTCGCAAGAGTCGCAATACCGAGTGACATCGGTAATGAGGTCGGGCCATCGGAATCGTTGTCGAAGCCGTGCAATAGTGCGGTTGACTCCGAAATGGCCGGCGAGTCGCGAGTCATGGTACTCCCCGAGAAGGCGAGTCCGAAAACGACGGTCTCATGGGACACACAATAAGTCCTTGCCTCTCGAGTGGAGGAGCAAGTACCCGTCCGCAATGCGATAGTGGCTGGCCGACGGGTGATCCGAAGATAGCTGCGCATACAACGTGGCGAAGTCTGAATCAGACTCATAGCCCCGGATGAAGTGTTGCTGGAGTTCCTCGTCAACTGCGAAAGCATGATATGTCATAGCGCAAAGATCAGGTCTTCTCGAGAGTGCATCTGCTGCGCGATTGGAGAGGAAAGGGAGATGTTTCGGTGTGAAGTCAAATTGGTCGATTAAGTACATCCATCGTCCGATCGTGCTGCTCACCGTATCCTGCGTCTTGTAGTAGGTCAATGGGTTGTTGTCCGTGACCCATGTGAACCTTCGACGCCCAAGGAGGAAGTGTCGCCATCGCTTGAGAGCCATCACGAATGCGAGCAGCTCCTTCTTCCTTGCATCATCAAGCGAATTGATGGGAGGCACTTTGTGGCTGAAATACTCCACAAGGTGCCAGTCGTCGCCATCGTGTTATTCCAAGACTGCCCCAATGCCATAGCCGGAAGCGTCGGTTGTCACTCTCGTTGGCAGGGTGGGGTCTTAGATGTTAAGGACGGGTGCCATGAGCATGGCCGTCTTGAATGCTTGGAATGACCGGCGTGCGTCGTCATCGAATACGAACGGTACCTTTGGCGATTGTAATCTCGTCATAGGTGCAGCAATCCTTGAGTACCCGGTGATGAATCGCTGATAGTAGCCCGCCAACCCCATGCATGAACGGACGTCCGTGGTGTTGGTGGGCTTAGGCCATACGCGGATGGCCTCGATCTTGTCCGCAAGCGGACGGATGCTTTGCGGCGTCACGTAATGTCCCAAGTACTCCAGCTCTTGCCGCGCGAATTTGCATTTGTCACGGTTGGATTTGTACTTGGCTTGTCGTAGCCGCTCCAAAACGGTGCGCAGGTGCTCCACATGCTCGTCCAAACTCCGACTGTACACCAAAATGTCGTCGAGGTAGATAAGTACGCATCGATCCAGCATGTGTCGGAACTCCGTTGTCATAGCCGCTTGGAAAGTGCTTGGGGCATTCGTAAGGCCAAACGACATAACCAGCCATTCGAAATGCCCATATCGCGTCTTAGACGCGGTCTTGTAGCGGTCCTCCTGCCGGATCTCGAGTTGGTGATATCCCGATTTGAGGTCTAGCTTGGAGAAGAACTTGGCGCCGCCCAGCCGTTCGAGGAGGTCGTCGATGCGTGGAAGAGGGTCAACGTTCTTGACCGTTTGCACGCTGAGCTTGCGATAATCGATGCACAACCGCAGATCCTTGTTCTTCTCCCGGACGAAGAGAACGGGAGCACCGTATGGCGAGGAGCTCGGCCGAATCCAGCCTTTCTCAAGAAGGTCGTCGAGTTGTGTCCGTAGCACACTTAGCTCTTCCTCGCTCATTCGGTAGATGCAACCACGCGGAGGTACAGCCCCGTCCTCGAGGATGATCTCGTGGCGGATGGGCCGATCCGGTACTACTCCGTGCGGGCCTTCGAACCCGTTGCCGTAGGCGTCAAGAAGCTCGGTGATGCGTGGGTCCGAAGATGAGTCCGTCGATGAAGCGTCATGAGGCGGGAGGGCGTGGAGAAAACACACCCCCATCTCCTCGATGTCGTCTCTGATGATGGAAGCTCGCATGCTTGCGATGGACACCACGTGGCAGATGATCGAAGGGTGAGGAGGAGGCACCGTGCATGGGACTAGTACTCTGTTTCGATCACGAACGTGAACGGTGCGGCGGTAGAAGTTCACCGGGTGATCCTCGCTTCATAGCCATGACATGCCCAAGATCATGTCGAATTTGGTGTCCAAAATGTCGAAGGACACCGCCTCGCTTGCATGCGGGGCAAAGTACACGGGGACGTCATCTATGCACCGGTCGATTGACTTGTGCGTGTGACCGTCTGCCAACGTGACTTGCGTAGGCTGGGACTTCCTCCGGACGTGTGGGCCAAGGTCGACGCGTACCATAAAGTCCTGGCTCATATAGTTGCGAGATGCTATGCAATCGATCAAAGCGCTGCAGGTCGTCTCTCCGATCTGAATGTGTACATATAACAATGGTGCGTCAATGTCGTCGTACCGTGTGTCCTGAACTCGCAGTCGATCTTCGCAATGTAATTGTGAAGTTTGACAACCTCCACTCCAGCGTCCATCAACGGAGTTGGTACTGCAGTGTGCAAGTAATCCCGCAGTTGTGCCATGAGCACGTTGCAATGCGGTTACGGCAATCGACCAGACCGGGGAAGGGGCATCCATTGGAAGTCTACAAACGTCAACGGGTCGAGCTCTTCAAGTCTTGACCATATCGTCGAATCCCCGGCTATAGATGGCGGTGAAGCTGTCGACTCGGTTGCCGATGGTAGTGAAACCGTGCATGCGGTGGATTGTTGCACGTGGAGTGGTTGATCCAACGGTGGGACCAAGTGGACAGCATAGTCCTCATAAGCGTACCGAGAACTTGCGACATTCCCATCCTCCCCAGATGTGTAGGAGGCCGCTAGCAAGGCGGCCGAATCTGGCTGAGTGGGAGGTGGAGTCGCCTCTTCTCCCGCGGAAGTCAGTTTCCCGAGTTGATACGAAGCCGAACATCCTCCGTGCCCTGATCCTGGCAGAGGGAGGTCTTGTGCTTGGTGCTATTGCACCAATAGCAGCAGCCGTAACGGCCGCGGTACTTGTACTCAGCCTCAGTCAAGTGAAACTTGACCCATGGTGTTGGTTGTCCGTTTCCGGCCGGCGATGCGGTTTTCGCCTTCCCGTTTCCTCGGGACTTGTTGTTGCTTCGCGGCTGGACAACAGCCACCTGATCTCCCTCGCGTGATGCTTGGGTGGCTGCCGGGTCTTCCACAATGTTGTTCGTGTGGACTGCAGCGACATGCTGCAGACGCGGACCAAATTTTCCTTTCTCCACATAGGTTGGTTGCCATGCCGACTTCTTGTGTGCAACCGCCCTATTGGTTTTGATGATCTCCCTTACCTTGTCGATGATTTCGGCGAAGGTCGCGTATTGCTCGCGATCATCAAGTGCAAGGCTCAAGGCAGCACATAACCGGTTGTAGAACTCCCGGCGCAGGTGCGAAAATGGCAATTCGAGATCCGACGTCGCTGCGATCTTTTGCCATTCCGTGAGCCAGTCACGTGTCAATGTGTTGCCTTGCGTCATAGCGAAGAGGCGGTTGATGGCGAGCACCGGGGCGTCGTCCACGATGAACCGCTTCTTCCATAGTCATGTTAACTCTTCCCAAGAGATCTTATCTTTCAGATCTGCGACGTCGACGCCGTGGACGGTTGCCAGGTGGCTCAACCAGATCTGGCATCCGCCCTTTGAGTTGAGGAACAGCGCGCCGATGTACGAGTGCTTGGGGATGAACAGAATCCGAAGTTGCATCGTAAAGCCCTCCCACCAGATGATTGGGTCTTGATGCGTGTAATCATCGAACTTCTCGATTTGGAATGTCGGCATCTTGTAATGTTGCGCGGTGTTGCCATCCTTGTTAGGCAGCTGGTGCAGTTGCTGAACCTCGGTCTTCAAGGTGTCCAACTGCTTGCTGATGGTGGCTGGTGCAGCGAAGGTACTGATGTCGCCGAGCATTGCGACTACGTGGTCAACTCGTTCCTCCAATTGGCGGGTAGAGGCTGCACTGCTGGTCTCGCCAACATTCGGTCTTGGTGCAACTTGCTCCAAGTCCTGTACACGGGAATGAAGTGCCCGTGTAGCATCCTCGTGCAGATCCTTGTGGCTCTGCATTGCCCGTCGGAGAATCGCCAGCTCGGACTGCAGGTGGTTACAAGTGTAGACCAACCGGGTCACGAGCTTGGCCAGGAATTCCTTATGCTGCTCCTTCGATGTCGCGTCGTCGTGCCCCTCGGATGGTTCAAAGTGCCGGAACTTGAGCTTTTCTATGCTGGTGGCTTCATGCCGCTGTAGCAGATCCTGGGCCTCCTTGCGGCGTGCCTGGGTATCTGCTTCAGCTTCGGCTTGAAGTCGCTGCTTTTCAACTGTTGTCACCACTTCAGCCTGTAGGCGGACAGCCTCGGCTGTCAGCTGGCGCTGTTCCCCAGCCTCGATTAGTGCGAACTGAGCTTCGAAACGCTGTCGGTACTCGGCAATGGACTCATTGGCCAATTGGCCTGGCATGCCCATAGCTGAGCCCGTCATGGTGGCGGGGCACTACTGACGTGGCACTGTGGCACTGCTGACGTGGCACTGTTGCTGACGTGGTACTGCTGACGTGGCACTGCTGCTGACGTGGCACTGTACCAACCCGGGAATGCATGCAAAGGGGTGGGTGGGAGGGAAAACGCAGGTAGGTAACCAACCCAGCTATACTTTCCTCCCGGTCCTAATCAACAGACTAATATAAAAAAATAAAAAAAAAGAGGATCACCCCCCCCTTTTTTTTTTTTTGTATATCTTTCGATCTGCTATGCGTGAGGCATGTCAGAAGAGTACTATGAGCGAGATCTAGGCCAGATTCCGCAAAGTTTCGGTTTTCACAAACATGCGATCTGGAAAAAAAAAATTGCGAAATAGAATGGAGATTCGATTTTCAGCAAGGAATAAATCCGGTTTCCGAGAATATGACCATCTCTATCGTTATCCTAATATGCCTAAAACGAAATGTTAACATCAGAAATTTTCAGCTATGTATGCGAATATCAGAGAAACGAGATGCCACTATCAGGAATTTTCAGATAAAACGAAATGCGATTATCAGAAATTTTCAGATATTTGTTGCGTGAAAACGAAATACTAATATCAGAAATTTTCAGGTAAAACGAAATGCGATCATCAGAAATTTTCAGATATTTGTTGCGAGAAAAAATTTTCAGAGATTTGACGAAGTCCTACTTGATTTACTAATGAGTAATCAATAGATCAAGCAAGCTGGCTACTTGATTGAGTGGGTCCTCTGTATGAGAGGTCCGCTCCGATACCAAACTGTTGCATACTATAACGGTGCAGACCAGAACAAGAACTGACCTCTCTCACAAAGTACAAGATAGCATAGCGGAAGACTTAGATACCAATGATCCGAACAATCAATATTTCAATGCAGCCCCAACATACATCATCATCGTTCCATGGTGTGAAGGGGCCTGGCGCTCACACAGGAAGAATGCGCCAGTCCCCGCCATACACAGACAAAGAAGAGGGGGGTTAGACGAAGAAGAGGGGAAGATGGGAATGTCGTCAACACCAAGTCTTCGGCACAAGCCCAAATAGTCCCTCGTCAAAATGTCTGAATCCCAATGTCGAGTCTGGATCCAATGTCGTCAAGTCTCAAGTCACAACTCTCTCTCTCTGTCGTAGTCCGCTGATACTGAGAAGGCAGGTAGTGAGAGGGTGAAGAAGAGATGGTGGACTTAGAAGAGGAAGAAGAAGA